GTCCTCCGCCGCGCCCATAATATCGCTGTGGCCCATGTCGCCTTCCCGCCGCCCGCCGGAACTGAAGGACGCACGCCTGCTCACACCGTCAGAGGGCGGGGCCTCACCGTCTCCCACAACACACCGCGCCGCCACGTCGGCGGCCAGAGGCGGGGCTAGACGCGGGGGGCGGGGCGAGGGCGGGGCTAGACGCGGGGCGGGTGCTAGACCTGAAGGCGGAGCGGGTCCGGCAGTGGGGTTGGAGGCTACGGCTGTTATTTTAACTTCCCCAATGTTAAATCGCAGAATCACTTAATCACAGCAGTGTAGGAGAGACCGTTTGGCCCATCAAGTCTGCACCGACCCTCTGAACAGCAACCCACCCAGAACCCTACCCTATCCCTGTAACCAATCCACCTAGCCTGCATATCCACAGACATTACATGGCAATTTCGTATGTCCAATCCACCTTAACCTGCACATCTTTGGACTGTGGGAGGAAACTGGAGCATCCCCAGGAAACCCACACAGACACGGGGAGAACGTGCAAACTCTGCACCAGCAGTATCACAAGTCTTGAAACGAACCAGGGTCCCTGATGCTGTGAGGTAGCAGTGCTAACCATTGATTCACCATGTGACCCGGGATTCCCTTAGAAGCTTGGATGAGGCAGAATTTGTGAGGTGCATCCAGGAGGGTTTATTGAAACAATATGTAGATAGTCCAATTAGGGAGGGGCGATGCTAGACCTTGTGTTGGGGAATGACCCTGGCCAGGTAATTGAAATTTCAGTGGGTGAGCATTTTGGAAAGAGTGATCATAATTCTGTAAGTTTTAAGATAGTTATGGATAAGGGTAAGAATGGTCCTCAGGTGAAAGTGCTAAACTGGGAGAAGGCTAATTACAGTAGTATTAGGCAAGAATTGAAAAAATTAGATTGGGCTAGTTGTTTAAGGGTAAATCCACATTTGACACATGGGAGTCTTTTAAAGGCCAATTGATCAGAGATCCGGACCGGCATGTTCGTGTGGGGATGAAAGATAAGGATAGCAAGATTCTGGAATGTTGGATGACGAGATATTGAAAGGTTAGTCAAAAAGAAAAAAAGAAGCAGATGTAAAGTTTAGGAAACACAAATCAAACAAGGCTCTTCAGGAATATAAAGGAGGCAGAAAATAACCAAGAAATTAGGAGAGCTAGGAAAGGCCATGAAATGTCCTTAGCCAGTAGATTTAGAAGGATATGGGCCATGTGCAGGGAAATGAGGTTAGTGTGGATGGACATTTTGGCTGACATGGACCAGCTTGAGCTGAAGGGTCTGTCTCTGTGCTGTAGGACTCTATGAAGTAGGATTAATGAGAATCCCAAGGCATTTTATACATATATTAGGAGCAAGAGGGTAACTGGGAAACTGTAGGTCCACTTAAGGACAAGAGGGAATTTATGCATGGAACCAGAGGAACTGGGTGAGATATTTAATGAGTATTTCACATTAATATTCACCAAGGAGAGGGACAGAGATGATGGTAATGTTAGGAAGAGGTATGTTATATTCTGGGGCATATTGATATTAAGAAGTAGGATATGTTGGGTGTCTTGAAAACACTAATTGACTGATTGATGGGTTTTATTGTCACGTTTACTGAAATACAGTGAAAAGCTTTGTTTATGAGTGGTGCAGGCAGATCACAGCAAGCAAAGGGTGTACAGATCAAAAAGACTTAGAGGCATACAGGTTACATTGCAGGTTATGTTATTTGAGGCTAGAGTCCATTCAACAATCTGATAACGGCTGGAAAGAAGCTGTTCCTGAACCTGCTTGTGCTTGTGTTCAGGCTTCTGTATCTTCTGCCTGACGGAAGTGGTTGTAGGAGATCATTACCAGGATGTGGTGGGTCTTTGATGATGTTGGCTGCCTTTCCGTGGCAGGGCGCCATGTAAATAGAGTCCATGGATGGAAGGTTGGCTTCCGTGATGGTCTGGGCTGTGCACACCACCTTCTGTAGTTTCTTATGGTCCTGGGCAGACCAGTTTCCATTCCAGGCTGTTACACACCTGGACAGTATGCTTTCAATGGTGCATCTGTAGAAGATGGTGAGCGACCTTATGGAGATGCTGCATTTCCTGAGCTGGCTAAGGAAGAAGTGGCGTTGTTGTGCCTTCTTGACTGTCACATTTATGTGGGAAATCCAGGACAGGTCTTCAGTTATCGTCACTCCTAGGAACTTGATGCTCTTCACCCTCTCAAACTCCGTTCTGTTGATGTAGGTGGGAGTGTGTTCTCCTCCCTTCTTTCTGAAGTCAATGATCACGTTCTTTAGTTTCACCAATGTTGAGAGAGAGGCAGATAAGTCTCCAAGGCCCGATGGCATCTATCCCAGGATACTGAAGGAGGCAAGGGAGAAGGTGCTGAGGCCCTGACAGAGATCTTTGTATCCTGTTTACATACAGGTAAGGTCCTAGAAGACTGGCAAGTAGCCAATGTTGTTCCTTTGTTTAAGAAAGGCAACAGGGATAATCCAGGAAATTATATGGGACAGACTCTGAACAATCTAGCAACTCACGACTGGGCATCCTTGAGGTACTGTGAGCCATCAGCAGCAGAATCATACTCCAACACAATCTACAATCTCATGGCCTGGCATTTCCCCCACTCAATCACTGCCATCAAGTCAGGGAATCAATGGAGAGTACAGGAGGGCATACCATGAGCATCACCAGATATATTCCTAAGTGAGGTGTCAACTAAACAGAACTACAGCAAACTTTCATATGGTCCATATGCTTATTCCAGATAGTTGCACCTGCCTGAACTTTATACATCACTGGTCCTGACCTAGCATCAAAAATGCTTCTTACCTATGCAGGGCCAGTTCCATGATTCTTAAACTAAACTTTGTCCCTGTACAAAACTGTCTCTCTCGTTTAATGGAGTCCTGGGTCCAGCATTGAAGTTCCTGATACCGTTTCACCCTCCAATACCGCACCCCCCCCATCAAGGACTGGGAAGATCAGACTTAACCTGGTGCAGAGTTTTCTACCTGTAAGCAACTCTGTCAGTGCTATCCTGCAGTTGCATGTGGGGCGGTCCAATAATCAAACAGGAACCATGACAGCTTGGTATCTAGTGAAACCGGAGGCTGTTTCTTCAAGCCAGCCTTCAAAGTTTGGACTGCTCGTTCTGCCAGGCCTTGGAATGATGGGCGGGATATGGCTGTTCTTATAGGTCAAATATCCAAATTCCCTGCTGGTAAATGTTGGCCCGTTATTTGTGACCAACACTTCCAGGACTCTGTGTATTGAAAAAAATGCGTGCGGTTTTCCTGTCATCATTCCAGTGTTTGACTAATGGACAGATGCAAATCCAAACACTCTCAGTGAGGCATCTACAATGATTAAGAACATTGAACCCATGAAGGGACCTGCATAGTCAACATGCAACCAAGTCCAAGATTTACCTGACCATTCCATGGATGTGGGTGCTGCTGATGGTAATTTTTGTCCTTGTTGACACTCCGGGCTATGCCCCACCAACGTGGCTACGTCTGCATCCAAGGCTGACCACCAGACATAATGTCTCTCCAACATCTTCATTTTGGAGACACCTGGATGGTCCTGGTGGCGTTCAGCCAGTATTTCATGGCGTCTTTGCACAGGAGTATTGTCTTGCTCCCTGTAACAATATGCCATCCTTTAACCATGAACTGATTTCTCTGGGTCCATAAAAGGTTTAAATTCTAGTTGTGACGGCCCTTTGGTTTCCCCCATTAATACCAGTTATTTCAGTTGGGAAAGGACTGGATCTTTCCTTGTCCAAAGTCTGATATTGTTAACTATGACTGGGAGCTTGTCCAGAAAATTTAATATCATTACAGACTCTTCTACTGGGGGTACCACCGGTGGTGTATCTACTGACGGCAGGCATCTCAATGCATCTGTATTCATAAAACGGCGTCCTAGAAGGTAGTCTGACTTATAAGCATTTAGTATTAGAGCTCACTGGCGATTGCAGACCAAAGCTATGGGTGGCACTGCCTTGTCCTCTTTAAGGTCAAAAATCACACGACACCAGGTTATAATGCAACAGGTTTATTTGAAAACGCAAGCTTTCAAGCTCAGCTCCTTCCTCAGGTGTAGTGTGAGAGAGAGAGTATAAGACACAGAATTTATAAGCAGAAAGGTAACAACCCTAAAACTGGCTGCCTCTTGTTGAATCTTTATTCAGTTATGAAGGAGACTACTGATTAAAATGCAAAATCCAGATTGTCTCAAGTCATTGTCCTGAGATAATTAAAGGTTTTATCAATGTATAAAAGAGGTGACATCTCAGGTCAGACAATGCATTTTAGGTGTGATGTCTTGCTTAGAATCTGTATGTTTTAAACTGGGGATCAGTTTTTGTTTTGAGCAAAACAGAATGTATCTACAACTACACAAACATCTTGGATGATTTAATTCATATGTGTGTCTGTGTATTTGCATGTGCATGTGCATACCACACTGTATACTCCCATTCCCACACATACTTGCACACTTACACAGCCACACACGTCTCTCTGGGGGACATTGGGGGTGGGAGGTGAATTGACCCTCAGTGTTTCTGGGGGACATTGGGGGAGAGGGTGAATTGACCCTCAGTGTCTCTGGGGGACATTGGGGTGGTGTTGGGGGGTGAATTGACCCTCACAGTGTCTCTGGGGGACATTGGGGTGGTGG